TCTATATATATATATATATATATATATATATATATATATATATATATATATATATATATATATATATATATATATAGTTAGCGGTACTTTTTGGTGCATGTTATGTGGAATTCTGGAATTTGCTGATAGGAAGAGCACACGCATGGTGTGTTGATTATTCCAGGAAATGACGGAAGAACAAAGATACGAATGAAGTAAACCTTCAAATCAAACGCTGCATGTTATCATCTAACATGAAGAAAATTGAAAATTGTCTTAGATTTAGGTTTTCTCTATATCATCATCTCTCTTGCATGATGCAGATTGTATGATTGTTATCATCTTGCATGATGCAGATTCGTCTGTTATCAGCCTAACAGGGTTAGGCAATTGGGATATCTCGTGTGTGATGTAAAACTAGTATGACTCGGGTGACTGAATCAATTTGTCCGTGGAACCATGACACGCATGCAGTGCTGGCAAAACCAAAGAGGGAGGGAGGTTAGGCATTGGCTGGTCGGACAATGCAGATTCTGAATGAAGTAATGGATTTTATTTACACGAATATTTATGATGGACAATGATCAAATAAACAAAGCTAAATTAGGATATGAAAGTATATATGGTTACAAGAACAAATCCTCCAAACCATGGATTTCCACTCCCCCATTTTCCTGAAATGAATGGCTCTGCCTTTAAGACTATATATGTCCGACAATATGAGCTTGAAGACTGTATGTACTACACAAGATTAGATCGGTCTGCAAAACCTTGGCTTTAATAAAATCCATGCCTTCATAATTTGGCCAATTCAAAATTACTGGGGTTACTCGACCATATCCGTAACGTCATTAGATGGCTTGACAGCATCATGCCCTCCGCGGCGGGATCTGATGAACTCATCAATTCTTTGTTTCAGCTCTGTGTCGGGTATCAACATGTCTTGAGTGAGATGTGAACGATTGAATGGGTCCGTCTGCGTGCAATTCTCAGCATTAGTCATGGAAGAAATTTAGCCAATCAAATAATACTAAAGCAACTGCAACAGAATGATCTTACATTGTCACTTAGTAGGTGTCTTTGGATAACAACCCGATCCACTGTTACCCTTGATGAAGGTAGAATCACTGGATCTTTCATCAATTCGTACTATCAGACAGAGATCTTAGTCAGCATCTTAGAGAAGGAGAGCAATTAACAAATAAGCAATACCAGTAGTTCTCACAATTATATGCAGATAGGTTTGAAGATCAATTCCAACAGAAAAAAGGATAATTATCATGATCCTCTTTTTAGTTGACGGTCATTTTAAATGGCACATTTGTCATCTAAGCTTAAGCTTTACCAACTACGAGTGAAGAAGCTAAATCTATCTGTCATTTAACAATTTCTTCAAGGGAATATGAACAAAGACGATAGAGGAAGGGAATTGGTTAAGTTGACCAGCTCCATTTTCTACGAGGAAAAAGAAGCAACAGTGGCTGCTCAAATAAGTTAGTGTAAAGACGAGTGCCCCATATTGGCAATAACCATCATATGTAAGTTTTGTGCAAAGAAAGTAACGGAGAAAGAAAATAAGATGAGAAGAAGAGATGACAGGCAAAATGGAAAAAAATGGAGAAAGAACCAAAAAATACTAACCTATTTTAGCCCCTCCATAAAATGTTTTTTTAGAGGACTAGAAAATGTATGAGAAAGGAGAAAGAAGATCTAATATCATTTGTTATTTTAGTCTACAATGTAGCTCATCTTTTCCCTTTTTTCTTGTTTGGATTCTTTGGTCTTGATAAGTTTAGTGCAGTATCTAATGCTGGAATGTAGCTCATCTTTTCTCTATATTCTTGTTTGGATTCTTCGGTCTTAATTAGTTTTAACTCAGTATCTAAACTTCCAGGATTCTTGTCCATCAGTGCAGGAATTCTATAGAAAAGAAACTTTAAAATCAAACACCTGAATACAATACGATATCTTCTTTGCAGACTTTGAAAGTATTCTATATTTGCTTATGCTGCACGCACCTACACGAAAGCCAAGCACCCTAACATCTTGATTTTTTGACAAGTACTTTTTTCAATCCAGGTGCAGCCATGCATGCTAGAGGGATCATAACCTGGGAACCCATGGATTTCACATCCACTGAGGTGTAATTTCTTTTAGTTTGTTGACTTAAACCTTTGCTTCTTAGAAAGAGAAGAAACTGTACCTGAATAGGGTCCATAAATTCCTCGGGTATTTCCCCAAGATTATTCTCCGCATCCATTGCTTCAGAAGCTGCTGCTTTGGCTTTAAGACCAAGTCGAATGAATTCCTCAATTACCCTTCCATCTTCACCAATTTTCCACAAAATATCAGCCGCAGAAGCAAACAGCTGTTTCAATTTTGGAGCTTCAGGAGACGTTGTACTGACAGAAAGAAAGTATGTCCAAAGGACATCCACACCATGCAAGACAGTTTTTTTTGTAGGAAAAGCACCTTCTCATTATATGATCGTCCATCCTTTGAGATTGCAGCAGGGAATATATTGTCTTTGTCACCTCTTGCAATATGAACATAAATCTTGGCGATCTTTACAAAAGTCATTCACAAAACAAATCTTAAACTTAATGAAAAAGATAAAAGTCAAAAGCAAATTAAAGTATCCATGGCACTTACTTGCTTTAGCAATTGTTTCGGTTTAAATTCATACTTTTCTGGATCTTTTACACTAAGAGATCTCCGTTGAGGGCCAGCAAGTTGCAAGAGAAAGTAATTTAGCATGCTAGCCACCCTTTCAACCTGAAAAATAGGATTAAAAACTTTGAATAACATTGATCAAACAGAGAACAGTTGATTGAAATTGACCACATAAAGGTAGAGTTGTAGCAATCTCAAGACCTTCTCAAGATGGATAACAGTTTAGAACTCTTTGCAAGCCAACAAATTTTAATAGTGAAAGACTACATACTCTAGTCAACCTCAGTACAACACAAAAACTCTATGTCGACAGTTACTTTTTCAATACTACAAACTATAAGGTATGCCTTATCTGTTTGAGGAGATATGTGTCGAGACTGAAACTTAAGTTATAGTTCCCTATTTGCTTCTATAAAGCATATGTAGTTGCTCTGTCAAGCAAGAAAAATACAGATTTGAGATATTTGAGTGGAAAAGGGTTCAATTGCATCTTTCAAGTCATCCAATTGATATTGAAATGTCCAGAATAAATGTCTCACCATTTCTGGAAGCAGGAATGGTGCAGGTATCTGTTCAGATGTGAACGCAAGCATCCCAACATCTTCATTTGCCAACCTCATATCAAAACGAACAATCTGAAATAACAAATTGGTTATGAGAAGGAAACATCTAACTTGCAATAAAGCCCATGTGAAGCTCACGTAGTTGAATGAAAGCCCTGGTAGTCGTAAAAAGTCCATATTTGAAAGTTCTACATAATAGAATCGAAGAGAACTCACATTTTCTCGTGAATGAAATAGCCGCATCCTCTCTTCCCTCTCCTGTGCTGGTCTCCGCTCCCATTCTGCAGAATTCGCCATTTCTGCTTCTATTTCTTTGAGTTCAAGAATTTTATTTAAACTCTCATCAAGAAGATAGATGCTATCATTGATAAGGAAATTCAAAAAGTTCAAATACACTCCCTTCTCCTCTTCCCTAGCAATCTGCACATCAAATTTTCATATGTTAATATGCAGTTATATGCAATTAGTAAAACATTTTGTTTATGATAAATCATATATATAATTGAAATAAAAATGATAGTAGCACAATGACAAGGGTCACCGAACCTGTCTCCATGCATTGCGATGGCTAGGAACATCCCAGAGATACTCTAGAAGTTCAGCAATATTGTGGCGAATTGTGAATTTATCAAAAAACTGCACAAGAATGATATTGAGCAACACACAAGGGCGACTGCAAATCGGACAAATGGAAAAGCACAAAGAACTCTATGTCCAAAGTAACAAATCGTATTGTTCTACCAGAATAATTACCTGTGTATGTGAACCAGTGAATTCAATATCCACATAAAGTTTCAGAAGATTTCTGACTAGATAGTCAAGAGATAATTGGTGACCCTCAAAGAGAGAAGCACTAGCAGAAAATCCACTGGAAGAACTGGAAAAAAGAAAAGTTACTGGAACAGTCAATAGCAAGAATCTAAACTGAGTCAAACTGAAATATTAACATCTAATCAATTGAACATTGATCAACCTTCTTTGTTGCATCCAACAATTCAGAACTTCAACCATTTTTGCTCTCAAATAAGGGTTTTTGATGTAAGTAGGACTCGCCATGAACATTATAATGAAGTTCAAGAAATCATCCTGACAAGGAATTAGCATAATGTGAATTTTTTGATAAAATTCAATAGCAAACAAGGAAATTTTATTGAAATTAAGTGCAAAATTGTGACTTACCAACACAAACCCTTCCAAAGCCTTTGGGATTCGAGAAGTTAAAATAAGCAAGTCCATGGCATCATCCACAAAATGCTCTGGAATGCATGCAAATTCCATAGGGCAAGTTGATGGCAAAGGCATTT